ATTAAACTTTATCTTTAGGTAATAAAGTTCAAGTTTAATTGTTGACATTAAAATAAATGTGCATACCAAATAGTCGTTCCAATTTGTTCATGTTCAGACGATTGATTTAAATTACGCGTTGGAATAATTCTGTTATTTCTAACTGGGTTTTGTTATTTTATAATGTGTTACGTGTGTTGTGGATTAAAATACACATTGCGTTCTTTTTTTAATAGTATTATAGTAAGCATAGTGCTCCTTTAAAAACAGTTATGTTTTAACATAACATCACGCCCTTTAGGCAGGGTAGGCAGAGGTACACATTACGGCACTTAATGCCGCATTACAGCGTAGCATCCACTTCACACTATTTATGTTATCAGTGCCATGTAATTTGGGGTGAGCCTATTACCATATACCGGGCACAATTCCAGACTCCCTGCTTTTGAAATTTTTTTTAAAAACCATATAGAACCGAATCCGGGACCCCTTGCCCAACAGTAGCACTTGCGACCACTCGACTACGAGGCAGTGTTATGTTTTAAACTAGCCCAAAAATGCAATCTGGTGTGAAATTGACATCACACTATGCGATTTAAAATCAAACTAGAGAATTCACGGTAGAAATTAGATAAAAAGAACAAAACAAAAATGTGTGTTTCGTAAAACTACATAATAATAGCTTGCCCCAATTATCGCAAAGATAGAACGCATTCATTTCAAAACACGTAATCAACTGCATCAGCGCTGCATCGGAGAATGTTTATTTATTTACTCATTTGTTTATTAATCAATAAACAATGAATTGCTAAAGATACTGTACTGTACATACACTTTAACCTAATTATTTAACCGACCGACGCTTAAAAAACAAGGAAGTGTTGATCTTCAAATATTTTTGAACAATACTAAACTAGATCTTAATTATTATGTTTTCAGCTTAGTCAAGGAAATCGACTAGTTTCAAGTCATGCTAGATGGTCATCTTCGTTAGCAGCATTACACGACCCGCGAGTCCCGCAACGCAGCGACTATTGCACTGCTATTGGCTGCTCGACGTAATAATTAATTTAGTATGTCTAACGAAAGTTTTAATATAAATCCCTACTGTTCCAGCAAGCGTCGTGAGCAGTCAAGAGCCAACTAAAGAATTGCGTATTTGACAGAAATCGGGCAGTTGCGCTCTCTGATATTTATTTATTTATTTTTATTAACCGACTTCCCAAAAAGGAGGAGGTTATCAATTCGGCTGTATGTTTTTTTTGTCTTTTTTATTAGTGACTTCTTACCTATCAATGGGTGGGTAACCTATAAGTACGTATGACAAATAATAGTTATTTTTTGCTTTTTAGTTATTACCTTTTGCTTGTTTTTAGGCTTTGTCAGTTTTTTTATTTATTTAACAATAGGCGTAGGTATCAATGAGCTAATTACAAGTCCTCAAGTTTCAGATTTAGAATAAATCAATTAATATGATGTGAGTACTTTACAAGAACAGGATTAAAAATACATATATTCTGAGTGAATGGAAAAGTGAAGTACTGACACACAGACCTTGCAGACAATGTGAAAAAAAAACAAAACCGTAACTACCTGATATACTTGAACCTTTTAAGTTGCAGTAGAGACTGCCACCACCATCGACCCACCTCAATCGAGGAGATAAATAGCAAAGGAACTCTCTTCTGTAGAGGGGACCCGTAGTCACTAGTCACGCAATAGAAATAGACCTCAAAGTAACTTCACCGGTAAGGTCCAGAGATTGAACAACACTATATGCTTCACTTCACTTGTTTCACATGCTTGGCAGCCACCACAGAAATATTTATAAATAGTTTTCGAAAAAATTGAGTTACCATAGTATACTTCGTAACTAAACTTGCTTTTTGCGTCGAAACTGGCACTTACGATTATTTACAGGGAATCACATTTACAAAAAATTATCACATCTGCCTATTTCGATATTCTACTCTGGATTATGTTAGGAATAATGACAGCCACACAAGTAACGACACAACAAAACAATTGCAATTGCACAATTTTAAATTCAAGTCATGCATAAATGTATGTAAATGTCCCTTTCTTACTGATCAACTCTCTAGAGTCCATAATATCGTAATCATAAACATTATTAATTAGTAATATGACCCTATAGTCCTTATGGTCATTCCCATGGGAAAAGTTGTTGACCAACATCGTTACGTGCACAGGTCCTGTGCCCTGAATGAATAATACAGCCTTATGTGAGGCCTCACACGTGGGAGGTACACATAGTAACGCAACCTAGATGTGGAATAATGTCAGACAAGGATTTAGATGAATGGTTTTTTGTGGCAATTTGAGATAATAATAATAATAAATAAATACGCTATAACAAGGCATCAAAAAAAAATTTTTCCTCATCATTATCGTGAGGTAGGGTGCCCAAAAGACTGGCAGTATTACCACGTTGAATAGAGTTATTTGAGATTATTTTTTGTAGAATTAAGGAGAAAAGATTGTTAACATAATATCACTCCTTTCATCCCCGAAGAGATAGGCAGAGGTGCACATTTACGGCACTTAATGCCACTGTACAATGTAGCACCCACTTTTCACTATTTATATTATAAGTGCCATGTAAATGGAGGGTGAGCTTATTGCCATATACCGGGCACAATTCCAGACTTCTTGCTATTACTGAGATTTTATTAAACCCAGTAATAAAAGATTGTTAGTCTTTCGATATTCGTTTACGGATGAAAATATTAACCTTAACTTGATCTCATATCCAAAATCTGTGGAACAAGATCGGTTTTTGACATTACTTGTATTCAGTTTCTGTCAAAAATCAGACAGATTTTAGGCTGAATTAAAATAACCCAGCCCAAAATCTGTCCGATCTTCTCGGATCAAAATAATCCCATACTTTTAAAGAAATTAAGACCGACAAAACTTTATAACCCCACTCAACATTTACTTCAAATTATCTTCCAACAAATAAATAGTAACCTAACCATTACCAACTGGTAGTTACATCGTTACAAAATAATTTTATAGTAGCCACACAAACCACGCGAACGAATTAAACATAGCCTTAACATCTTCTTACCAAATTGGATAATTTGTTTTATTAACTCTTCCGATGGTATGGAACGCAATAGCATACGAAATGCACTCACGAACACTTTATTTCTTTTACAATTAAGTAATAAAAAGTACCAGGAAATAGAACATTAGATGGACTGGACAGCTATAAAAAAGTAGACCACCAAAGCTGTGATAAGGGCGAAACCATATCTAAATTTTTCTTTTTTTTCTTTAGCCGGTAAACAAGCAGATGGATCACCTGATAGTAAGCAATTGGCGTCGCCCATAGACACCTGGAACACCAGAGGCGTTACAAGTGCGTTACAGGCCTTTTGGGGCTTAGGAGTTTGAGGATCGTTAGGAACTCAGGGATTAGGGAGATTGGGGAAGGGGAGGCGGGTAATTCTCCGGTCTCCGGTAACCTCACTCACTCAAACACGACGCAAGCGTTGATTCACAACGGTTTTATGTGATGCCGTGGTATCACTCCGGTCCAGCCGGCCCATTCGTGCCGTAGCATGGCTCTCCCACATTAAATACTAAATTCTGAATATTAACTATAGGAGTAACGATTAACAGCCTTACTCAAAGACATTTAATGATTACGTAAACTATTCCTTAACACGTGAAACGCCGTGGCGTGGGTCACCGGTGACCGACTTTATTGGAGGATTTGCCTTCTACAGTTTTCTATTGGTAGTCAAAGGTTTAATAACGATTTTGGTCTTAAATCAATTGCTAAGGACTTAGTTAAGGAACCATTAAATGATACTGAGTACAGCGGTTAGACTATGTATCATAATATATGAGGTATATATTAGTGTGCATGTGTGTGTGGGCTCTCAGAGTGCATAGATGAAGACTTAATTGACATGCTAAAGTCCCTGTGAGGGAAAAATACAGAATGGACGACCGGTCTAATTAAAATTGTCAAAGTATCCACTAGACTGAGCAATGCAGCTAACGTAGAACTGAAAATAGTCTTACCTCGATATTGATTCCAACCTGTCCTATCGAAACCTATTTTTATAGTAACGGTTTAATGTTAAAGATAAACCCCTTAAAAGATCACCTTATTGTCCGTCCGCCTGTCAAGTTAGAGTCAAACTAATCAGAAAATAATGGACCCGAAAACAAAAACATCTTTATTTACTCTGTCAACATAAACAGCTCTTGTTAGCGTCACACGTAACTCCACGATTTTATTAGCTCACATAGCCCATTTGGAGCCATTTTGTCCTACATCGTCTCTTAACACGCAAGCCTTTGAGATTAACGTCGACTATACTTTGCCCCTTTTGGCCACGACCTCGGTGTCGTATCGTAAGCGTATCGTTACAACCTTCTACTGTCGTAATTATTATGTACTCTTGTGGTATACGCTTCGTGTGTGCTCGTTATGCTCTTGTCCTATGCGCATATTGCGGTGCGATGCGCGATACTTGACGGTGTCAGTAGTGTAAGAATCATGAATTAAATCAGCCATTAGATAATACAAAAGCTAATAAAATTCCATAGGAGTTTATTACTAGCATTTGCATAGTTACAAATAGTCTTATTTTATTTCTACAATCAATGTAACTTTGTACTCTAGTGTGCGTTTCTTAAAATGGCAATTTCCGTTCATTTCTATTTTGAATGACCCCAACTTGAAACTATACCCTAAGGCTACTACAACTCGATTTGGTGTTTAATTGACTTCGAAATAACATTAAAATTCTAAACACTTATAAACAAAAATTTTATTGATTTACGATACATCGTTCTTTTCTTTATAGGTAATGAATATTCATTGATGTAAAAAATAGTAATATGTTAAAGAAACGATCAGCATAGTAGAAAGAAACATCAAACCTTCCATTCTTATCGATGTCTCTAACAATCTTACACAGAACACAAAATAATGATTGTAAAAGTGGTGGCTTGTCTTTCAATAAAAATAGATGACTCACCGGTAACTAACAGGCGCTCGCAAATTGATAGCAGCTTCCCTGGACTGGTGTCTCCGTCTCTTATCTCCTTCACGCCAACTAGCGTAACTCCTCGCGAAGTTCGGTAAACCACAAGCGGACACATTCACAAAATCCACTGACATATCCACTGTATCATTAAAAAGCATAACATTATCAGTATCGTTAAACAAATCAATAAAATCGAAGGTGCTATTCACATTTGAGGAGTTATCTGACATGGAATGATTTGAGGGTTGATAAACTCCATTATGTTTTGGACTAGAATACACATATACTTTGTTTAGTTCCGAATCGTTTTCAGTTTTAATTCGGAGGCTTTCGTGGGTGGTGTTGTAGTGGTAGTCTTCTGCGGAGGTGTACCACGCCTCCAGCACTGCGATGTGAGAGTCCAGGTCGCGACATGTTAGTCGGAACTCGTTCTCGTGGCATTGCTGCTCTTCCACTATTTCTGGAACAAAGAATGGGAGATTTTAAGACTACTTGAACTGCATTAGGTACTTATATTTTCTGTGGTTAACATTCATTACTTTTTTGAAGTCAAACTTTTGAATGTATAGTCAATAACAAAATAAAAAATGTGTTTAACTGAGACTGTGAGGGACCTGCAATCACCTTTGAAGTATAATCTTAGACAGTCTATTCATTCACTGCTCTATCACCCTTAAAATATTTTAACCCCTTCCTAAAACAGACACAACTATAAAAACCACAATAGACCCTTAAAATTTTCATCACGTGCCGACTATTAATTTATTGGGGAATTAGACGATGCCGATATTATGGCGCGCTCTAATCAACGGCTAATACGTGCCTAGAACGGGTATTTTAACTTAATTTTTACTTTGGGAATATCCTTAAGAGAATACGTTACCTAAAGTAATTTCTTTATACAGCGTTTGGGAACTTCCTACTCAAAAATGTTTAGTAGATTTTGCAAGAAATATTAAATCAATATTTTTGAATTTGGTTATAATGAGTATTTCAAAAAGTAGTGATTTTATCAATGAATTCATAGTACATATACCTCTACATATACCTAACCAGTAAGTAATATTTCAGGAGCCACCAAGTCGGTATCGATCGATTTGGAAGCCATTTAGATTCACCAGTGAAATAATTTTTGCTGATTGATAATATATGTTGATAAACTCCATACTTATAAAGCTATTTCGTCAATTTGTACAATACACGAAGATGGTAATAAAAATCATAGATGCATGCAATCATGGATTTACAACAACGATAAATTAACAAAAAATTATCAATGCATAAAATCTACATTCAATTTTGATTAATTATTATTTATCGCCTTAACCCTTTGCAGGTGCATAAAATAACACTCGACATATTATGGCGTGTCCTATAAATATTCAAATATTACATTACAAACTTATTAATACAGACGGAAAAAATTGGAACTACACAATTCGTTTGAAGAATTTTGAAAGTGGAACTTAATTGAGAAAGATACTAGCGCCATATACGATTGTAAAGTTAAGTTTGTATTTTTGTAACGGTACGTAAACAGATGGCCATAGCGAGTGTATTTTTATTGGCTATCAGCGGTTTCTATGATACGTAATAGTTCTGTCATTGTTTACACATTCACATTAAAGCTTTTAGAGAATTTGATAGTTTCGTGATCGTTATAGCTTTGGAAATGGTTATTGTATTAGTTACTATGTTTTATGAATTGATAAAATGAACACTTTAAAGTCGTTAAGTATCAGTTACCGGTTATATACACGCTGACATATTGATGGTTGTTTTCCCGCAGCAGAACGATTTCCCTTTAGTAGTACTATCGAATAATGCAAGTTACTTTTTGAAAAAATATTTTTTTTTCTCCTCATATACTCAAAAAAATAATCATCAACTCGAAAGCATGAGAAACGATAGTTTCTCTTCTAAAATGTGACGTCAAATCAATGTTCATAGTAAAATAATCTCTCGGACTAAGTAATACAGCATAAACTGCAATGCACGCGCGCGCGAGCGGATCGCCTCACGACAAACAACAAAGGCAACCACCGCGCTCTCTGTCACTCGCATCGGCCCGCATCGCCTCGCACCGCTTTCATTCACACCAGTCGCACCGCGAACGCCGTCCGCGCAACCACGCAAGCGCAGTACAATATTATTGCCGCCAAAATGGATCGCCATTACGTTTTTTCTAATGTGGAGTACGTAGCTATGGTGCAATTGTACGCGAGGGCGAATTATGATTTTTGGGCTTTTAATAACCCACACGTTATTCGGGAATGTGCGCATCAAGTGCGGTTTAGTGTAAACGTGTGGGCCGGTATAATAAACGGCTGCTTAATTGGTCCGCATTTTGTGACAGGACACTTAACCGGTGAAACGTACCTACAAATGCTACGTAGTGTTATCCCGGACTTACTAGATGACATTCCGTTAGCAGTGCCCATGGATGGCCTGTATTACCAGCACGATGGTTGCCCTGCGCATTATCAGCGCGCCGTGCGAGAGCACCTCGACTCGGTGTTTCCCCAGCGTTGGATCGGTCGTGGCGGGCCAGTGCCATGGCCACCACGAAGCCCGGATCTTACTCCACTAGACTTTTATTTGTGGTCTAATCTCAAACGCCTTGTGTATCGGCAAGAGTACGAAACTCGCGACGCGTTAAAAAGTGCGATAGTGGACGCTTTTGATGTGATTAGACGTGACAGAGACACATTATTAAAATTGAAAGCCAATCAGTTAAAACGTGCACGATTGTGTGTGGAACGCGGTGGCTTACACTTTGAACAATTGCTCCGTTACCGGGAAGTGTAAGTACTTGTACATTTGTAAATAAAACAATAAGATAGGTGATTAAAATCATTGTAAATACGTTGATTCCCATTTTTTAAATACGCCATAAATACTTTCCCAAATTCAGTAATAAACAAGATAATATCTCTTGATTAAATTTTGTTTTATGTTTGTGTTTAGTAAGTGTAGTTAAAAAGTATTTACGACGGTCCTAAGCCCGTTAAAGTATGAAGGGAAAATGGAAATCACTTGTTAGTAAATACTGAGTTATCAGCCTTTTGATAAGCGCGAGCGACAATGACAGCGGCCGGTGGCCGGTCGCGGCGGTACTATTGGTTCGCGGTTTCTTTCAAGTTTCGTGTATCACTATCGTAAAACTGCTATTTTTTTATTTAAATTAAAAACAACTTTCTCAATCTATTATACTACTAAAATAGAATCATTTTACTGTGGGAAAACAACCATTAAAATATCACGGTGTATATGACAGTGTATGATAAAACCAAACAGTGTGTCTTAGACTCCTCACATATTCATAGATACCAAATAATTTGAGTGTCTAAATGATCGAATGACATCTAGCATAATACATCAACCCGAAAAACGCTGATATGTGATGGTCAAAAACGATTAGAATTATAAAAACTACTTTTTTCTCAGCGTTTTTCTGGGGCGTTACTTTTACACCCGGTAATTATGTGTATATTAGGTAACCCCTTAAAGCTTTAACAAATGTAGGTAAGGCAAGAGGATGTCATCAGACCACCACAGATGGGGCCCAATAGGGCTGATGCCGATACGAAGCAGCGGAGGACTTAACGTGTTGCCGGGGCTCCGGGTCGAAGTGCAGGAGTAAGAACGGGGTGTTTTCTAGTCAGTAAGAGTCTGACACTCCCTCTCGCCTCACCCGGGCAAGAGAAGTAATTGGATGATTTTCCAACATCAAAATAAAACATGTTGGAAGCAGTTATGTAAAAAACATACGTTGTACGTAAATCTAAATTCTCCCTTTTCTGTCTTTTGCTACTAAATTCTATGTAAGTACACTAAAGTCAAAGTCACATTCAAAATCTTTAGTCACACTTCACATACAAAAATAGACGATCAGAAAAACAATAGCCACCTAAAAACTATGTCGTAAAAGTCAGCCGTAATATTTTTATGTCCGATAAATATTTACGATCGCTTCATTCCCAATACGACATCGAAATAATTTATTACCACTTTCTTAAGAATACTCTTTGACATGTTACAATATGTAACATCCTGTATAACTGACATATTTTTTTAATTTTCGTAAAAGTACTTCAACTTCAGCCGCATGTCAAAGTGCATTTTTTTTAATGGGTTAAGCCGGTAAACGAGCAGACGGTACACCTGATGGTAAGGAATCAATGCCGCCCATGGACACCTGAAACACCAGATGCGTTAGTACGTTACTGGCCTTTTGGGAATTTGAGGAGTGTTTCGCTGGTAATGCTCCGGTCGAGCCGACCCATTCGTGCTGAAGCAAAGCTCTCCCACATTGGACTGTTGACCTTCATTCCTCGTGAAACCTCGGATTTCCAACGTGACTGCCAAGCATGGACCTTCAACAGTTTTAAATCTCTAGGTTTATCAGAAATAACCGATATCTAGTCTCTGTCAAATGTAGTCCATATCGATAAATCATCATTGAATTGAGATCCGTTTATTACTTGAGCAGATCGATTTTTTATATTAGTAGGTACTTTACGTAGTTCTATTTTTGATTTTTAGAACATTGCCCCACACTTGTATTTTGTCCTGTGTCGTGGGTGCATTTACAAACATAAAATTTCACATACACATGACACTGACACCCGAAACAACAATTTATGGATCACACGATGAGAGCGACAATTCCCGCATGGAGAAAATACGGGAATCGAACCTGCTGCACGATGCGCAACAGCCGGTTGCCCAGCCACCGCGCCAACCGTGCATTCAAAGTCAGTTATTAAGTTACTGAAAAAAATCCAAAGATATTGATGTTTTTATAGTAACTAACTATCTTGAAACATATTGGATTAACTAAACATCAGTAGGCTGTGCGACATACATATCCGCGACCGCGAATGCTGCTCATGAGGAAGGAGTCCCTCTGTCACTCGAAACTACATAGTAGAGCTTTTCTCAGTATATTCACGAGAGTAAGCAGCAATTTTTACTCAATTCATATTTTGGGATGTTCGAAAATTGTTATAAAATGTTGAGGAGTTGGAGCCAAGCTTTACACTCACACTTATAATCAACCTCCAGGCAATTCGATTGACATCAATACCAATCCTCAAGTCAGTCCAGTCACATACCTAATGTCTACCATGTCAGAACACGTCATTAAGAGTCAACATTGATTGACAAGTCATTGCTAATCCATACATCGAGCTGCTAACTCCGTGCTTGACGTTATAAGTGGCGCTAGGCATTCGCAATAGTGTTAAGAATGTAGATATTCCTACATGCAAGTAATTTTAAACTGTAAGCAATGTGCACTGGAGTGTAAATTAGAATACCTTTGACAATGATCATCGGTTTTTAGTTAGGAATCTAGAGTGATCAAATGGGTATTTTTTTTATGAAATAGGAGGCAAACGAGTAGACGGGTCACCTGGCAGTAAGCGATCAGCGCCGCCCATGGACACCTGGAACACT